CTTTCCAGCACGGGGTTGAGGTCAAGATCGTCAGGCAAATTAAGGGGCTAGGAACCCTCCTGGTGGAGGGTGGAGGTGCTGGGCCTGAAGTGGCCCATAGGATTTCTCAGATGAGGGCCGAACTTCGGCCCATCCAAGTGGCTCTTGGCAAAAGGAAGGCCCTTAAGCTGGCCACTCGCACTCGTTACACTGATGCCTTTGCTCTGAGTAAACTTTGGTTCAATTGTTGCGTGTGGGAGCCCCTATCCAACAAGTCTCATAGTAAGATGGCTGCTGCTCAAGCCTCGGCCTATCATGCAGCGTTGGGGGAGGCCCTCGGCGGCAACAAGGACCACCACCAGTCCCATGCGTCGGTAGTGCATGCTGTCAGCAGGCTCAACCACCGCAATGTACTCCGCGTTGCCAGGTTGAGATATCTCCCGAGGGTGCTCACCACGGGGCCGGCTGGCCTGAGAGTGGTTTTAGACACTCTGTGGGACGACACTGAGAGTTGGGTGGGGGCTATGAGAGAGGATCTTGTTTGGCTCAACACGAGGATGGATAAGAGACAGGTTCCAGGGGATGGGAGCAATGATGACTGGCTCAGCTTTGCTAGGGCCAAGCCGAGGCGCTTCGTCAACTTGGTGGTGGAAGCCGCCAGGCGAGAATTGTTTCACCAGCAGCAGCAGCAGCAGTATCTAGCGAAAGAAACTCTTAGGATTTGCCAAGCACACGGACTCCCTGAGCACAGCGCTAGAGAAGAACGAAGTAGCTCCGAGGTCGTTGGTTTTTTGTGCTACGAGTGTGGATATGTGGCCCCGTCAGCAAGGGGTCTTGCCATACACCGAGGCAAACAACACAAACATGGCTCGGACTGTAACACTTGGGCGGTGGGTACACACTGTCAGATGTGCATGACAGAATTTCATTCTCCCGGGAGACTTTGCAAGCATCTCAAGCAGAATCGAAGCTGTGCGCTGAGTTGGCATGCCATGATCTGCCACCGAGTGAATAAGGAGGAAGTCCAGGAGTGGAGGACCGCCAGTGCCCTGCTGCAGAAAAAGAATCGGGGGGTGGGAAAGCACGAGCACGTGGCTGAGAAAGCTGCCGTGAGGATTTGCGGACCTATCAGGGGCGAAAGAATTCTGCATGAAAAAGCCTTCCGTGTGCACCCCCCTTTGGTGCAACGGGAGGCTGAGGCTAAGTGCAACGTCACGCCGAGGGCGATGCTCGATATGCTTGCCCCCTTTTTTCTTATCGTTGGCAAAGGCCAGCGGCAGAGTGAAGACTTCCAGGCCAAGCTGGAAGAGGAGTGTGCAAAAAAGGGGCAAGAGATAATCGTGCTTCACTTGTCCTGGGAAGAGTGGGCTCTGCAGGATGAGAGGAGCTGGTGTGACAAACTTCAGCAGGGCAAGCTCGCGGGGGGAGCCTTTTTTCTGCCTGTTTGCTGGGGAGTAGGGTCTGCCCGAGAAAAGAACGTAAGGTCTTTGGGGGATGTGTGGGGGTCCCCGAGGCTGAATTCAAAAGTGAGAGAGGTTGTTGGTTGGGAAAACCCGGCCCTGAGGGGGGCCCTTGCCCTCAGTGCTGGTGCCTATTTGCACAGAGTCCCTTGGATCACCGTGAGTCCGACGATGATGGGCCATCAACTCTCCTTTGCCAAAGTGCCCATGGTGTCAGAAGTCGCCTTGCATTGCAATGCCAGGGTGATTGAGCTGCATGCCTGCGCATTTGGCGACAATCCTTTTCTTGATCCCTTCTCTCTTCTCCAAGTCCACCTTCAGGGTTTGACTCAGGAGATCGGAGCCTCGGATGGAGGCGGAGGTGCAGGGGTGACCACCTGCACTGCAGCTGTGAGGGGAGGAAGGAATGCATGAGCTATTGCCTGCCCCCTTCCTTTTATGCAAGAGTTGCTGATGACTTTGCGTGTTCATGGCAGAGTTGTGCTCATGAGACTTGCGGAGAGAAGGTTACCGAAGGAGTTGGAGGGGACAACTTCTGGCGGCCTCTTGATCCGTTTTTGTCCTGGGACTGACTGCCGAGCTCGCCATGGTCCGTGTTGCTTTGTTGGATGGGACCCCTGATGTCACGACAGCGATGCATGCACGGATTGGCTCCGAAGTGAGCCCTCCTCGTCCTTTTTCCTTGCCCCCCGTTTCCCAATCCGAGGATAGGCCACCTATGTACAGGCCTTGACATCGCCGAGCCGAGCCGAGCCGAGGAGGAGGAGGACCCCCTCCCCCTCCAACTTATGGTGGTGGTGGTGGAAAACAAGCCCATCAGCAGAAGCAGAGGAGGGGCAAAACGGGAGCAGGGGGCGGCCGCGGACCGGCCGGGGAGAGCCCTCCGGCGGCGCCGGGGGTCGGGCTCCCCCCGGAGCTCGGCGGCGCCGCCTCGAGCTGCACTGGACGGGTCGCGTGGCTGACAGGACGAGGAGATGGGAAGCACAGTACTATATGTCCTCCTTCGAGGCGAGCGTCCGACCCGAACATGTAGTATACCCGTCTTGTAGTATATCGTTTCCCGAGCGGTGTGGCCAGAAAGCGCACGCCACGACGCATATACTATAAGATTTCTCGGTGCGCGCGCCGCCCCTGGGGGGGCGACGCAGATATAGTATAAGTATGTTGGGGTGACGCCGAAGGAGAGGTCGGGGCGAGGATAGATCGAGAATCTCTGAGATCCAGCGGCTCTGGAGAATGCATCGAGCGTCGCGGCCTCCTCGGCGCGATCTAGAACGCTCTGAGAGCGTTCCGGAACGCTCTGGACCGGGAGTATCCCCGTGCTAACGCCGGCCGGTTCGGCCTTGAGCGATCGCAGCTTCCCCGTGTCACAGGTCGCTGGATGCTGGCCGGTACTGGGCCACTGGTGGCTTTCAACCGTGAAAAACGCGCGCTGGGGTCGCCGCCGCGTCGCCACGACACGAGCGTGCCGCAAGGGTGACTGCAGCGGCAATCGGGGACAACCATGGCCCAATTCCAGAGGCATGGATGGGCCAGCAGGGCAAGGATGCAGGGTAAGCCTTGAAAGACTGCATCCTACGAAGGGGGTGAAGGTAAAACGGCCGGGAAGCGACTCGGAAGAGTGCAGCTGGCCGCGGGGAGCAGGCTTCAGCAAGGATAAGAGGATCTAAGTGACGAGCAGGAGTACTCCTCATCCAGCGCAAGGACGACGGCAACGACGACGACGACGCGCACCCGGCCTCTCCCCCCCCAGCCCCCTAGCCCTACCCCGCGGAGGTGGCGGACGACGGCGAGGGCGACAGACGAGGGGGGGAAAGCCAGAGCAAATCTAGCAAAAATTAGGCCTCCTTGATGGGATCGGGGTAGATGGGGTCGGAGGATCGCGCCGCTTCGCCAATGCATCGCCGATGCATCGGCGATGCATCGGCGACGCAACGTCGACATCGGCGATGCATCGGCGACGTCGGCGTGGAGAAAATCGGGCTGCACATCAAGCCGCATCGCCGATGCATCGACGATGCAGCGCGATCCTCCGACCCTATCTACTCGGACCCCATCGAGGAGGCCTAGACAAATGGGGGGGGCGGGGCGGAGCATGAGGGGGGCGGTCGTGGGCGCCGTACACAGAGGCCTGCCAAGCTGGACCCGAGCAGATGAGGTCGGAGGATGGCGCCGCTCGCAGGTGGCCCGAATTCGCAGCGGGGGGGGGTGCACGATGCAGGACATCGAGGCACACACATGTGCTTGCTTGGCACTGGCGAGCAGGCACTCTACGAATGGCACGCGCTCGGCGCGAAAGGATCGGGCCGCACATCGAGCCGCATCGCCGACGCATCGACGATGCGGCGCGAGCCTCCGACCCCATCCCATCCGGCCCCCTCTGTAGGCGGCCTGGGACGACGGAGGCCCCCTACGACGAGGCCGAGGCCGCAGTCCACCCCCCCCGGACGCGGCGGCGGACGACGGCGGGCATGCGCGCAGGACGGGTGTCGCAGGGAGGTGGCTGCGCGTCCGCCGACGGAGGGAGAAAGCTGGGCGCCGGCGCCCGCTGGGACGACGTGCCGATGCAGCTGCTGCTCCCGCTGCGGAAAGCGGCGGCGGCGGCGGCGGCGGTGGTGATGGTGGTTGTGCTGGTGCTGGTGCTGGTGGTGGTGCTGCTGCTGCTGCTGCTGCTGCTGCTGCTGGTGCTGCTGCTGCTGCTGCTGCTGCTGCTGCTGCTGCTGCTGCTGCTGCTGCCGTCTCCTCCTTCTCCGACCGTGGCCCCCCACTCTTTCTCCATCTGTCCCGTCGGTGATCGGGGAGCGCCACCAGAAATCGGCACGAACGAAATGGGTACGGAGAGAATGGGTACAACGCCCCACAAGAGTTCCTGCTCATTTTAAACAGGGCTCGCTGTCCGCGCCGCCATGGACGTTGTCCATTTGAGACAGAAGGCCGCCTGACCAACAGCGGCCGCTGTCAGGTGTGGACAACATATGTTGTTGGGCATCGTACCACTTGTTTTCAGAACCAATTTCGGTAATTCAAAGAAAAGGGCGAGGGGGGGAGGGAGGATCTACTACAAATATTGTGTGGTCGGCCCGGGAGTCCGATTGGGCGCTGCTGCATTGCCGTCCCCCAGGCAATTGTTGGTCGTCCTCAACATCGGCCGACAACCGAGCACTCCGACTCTAATATGCACGAGTCCGAGTGTCTCGCGGAGGCCCATTGAAAGCATATAGACAACAAAAACATGGCCGTGCCGTGCCGTGTCCTTGCAGTCGCTGTGTCCTTGAAGATGTCGCGCCTGATTCGCGCGACATCTTCATACAATCGAAGAAGCAAGCAGCCAAAAGAAAACCCTGTTCGTTGAAGAATGTTCCAGGTGCGTCAAAACAAACCATTCTCGGGAGGAAGGTGGCTACCTAGAAAAAAAACTGAACGTCGGCAAGGGCTGTGTCCCAGGAGCGTGTCAGAACCGAGCCCGATGCCATATGGTTGTTTAGCGCCGTGTGTGGCCAAGGAACTGGATCTGGATGCCCTGCGTGCGCGTGGCGGAGACCGCTTAAGTGGTCTGTCTGTCTGCATGCCTGACTGCCTGCCTGTCTGTCTGCCTGTCTGTCTGTCCGTCTGTCCGTCTGTCTGTCTGTCTCTGTCTCTATCTCTTCCTCCCTCTCTCGATCTATTTCGGCTCCGCAGTCGGAAGGCGTCCAGAAGCGAATCTGCTCCGAGAACTCGGGAATTGCGTTCCGCACTCCGAGAGCGAACTCAGAAACATGCCCTGGAGATGGGACCACGCCGTCAGTCTAAGCTCGCCTCCGCGACCGAGGCTAATGCACGATGATCATTCCCATTCGCGCTTTGAATGAGTGAAAGGCGCTCAACACATGCCTCCGAAGGCGTCATTGCCTCAGTGTGGTCATCTTCTCCTAGCAGCCCTCCGACAGCAAACCCACTGAGCCCGAGGTGCTTGACATAAAAATTCAAGTACAGGAGGCCCTGCTCCGTACGCCCGTGGACAACTTTCAGCTCGACCCTCCCAAGTTTCAGCCAATGCGAATCGTCGTGCTGCCCAGCGCGAGCTTGGAAGAAGAGACCACTGGTCTGCTTCGCCTCCACCAGACTGAGACCATCTGCCTTCGCCGCCTCCACCCACGCCCCTGTGATGTTCAGCTCCTGGAAATACATGTCTGCACACTGTCCTCCCAGTCGGTGAGCCTCAGCCTCTACTCGGAGCAGCGCCTTCTCGGGAAGCTCCCCCCGCGGAATATGAACCAGAACGTGCTTACCGGACTGCAGTAAGTCGAATCGCTCACCATGGACGTTCTGCAAGTGTGGATCGCCGACGGCAGCAGCCCCACGTCCGGCAGCATCTGCTGCTGCCTTCGACGCTGCCTCCGCCTGGGCGGCTGCCTCTGCCTTTGCCTTGGCCTGTGCATCCGCCGCCGCCGCCTTGATTTCAGCCTCCAAGGCCCTCCTGGCGTCCTCGGCCTTCTTCGCCTCCTCGGCCTTCTTGGCATCCTTTGCCTTCTTAGCCTCCGCGGCTTTCCTCGCCTCCTCGGCCTTCTTGGCATCCGCGGCCTTCTTACCCTCCGCGGCTTTCCTGGACTCCTCGGCCTTCCTGGCCTCCGCAGCCTTCTTAGCCTCGGCGACCCTCCTGGCCTCCGTTGCCTTGGCCTCCGCGGCCTTCCTGGCCTCTTCTGCCTTCTTGGCCTCTGCGGCCTTCTTGGCCTCCGCGGCTTTCCTCGCCTCCTCGGCCTTCTTGGCCTCCGCGACCTTCTTAGCCTCCGCGACCCTCCTGGCCTCCGTTGCCTTGGCCTCCGCGGCCTTCCTGGCCTCTTCTGCCTTCTTGGCCTCCGCGGCCTTCTTGGCCTCCGCGGCTTTCCTCGCCTCCTCGGCCTTCTTGGCCTCCGCGACCTCCTTAGCCTCCGCGGCCTTCCTGGCCTCCTCCGCCTTCCTGGCCTCTTCTGCCTTCTTCGCCTCCTCTGCCTTCTTAGCCTCCGCGGCCTTCCTGGACTCCTCGGCCTTCCTGGCCTCTTCTGCCTTCTTGGCCTCCGCGGCCTTCCTGGACTCCTCGGCCTTCCTGGCCTCCTCGGCCTTCTTGGCCTCCTCGGCCTTCTTGGCCTCCGCGGCCTTCCTGGCTTCCTCCGCCTTCCTGACATCATCGCGGGCTTTCCCGTTGATGAGGTTCATCGCGCTGCTGTCGACGTCGTCGACGTAAAGTGACTCGGAAGTAGCCCCATGAAGCACATCGGTGGGATGATCGAAAGCGTAGGACGCGGTCGCGGACGCTGGCCCCTCGTCGGAGCCCACGGACACCTTCTGGAACGCAAAACGCTGGACGCCTCCGTGCCTCTTGCGCACCGTCAGCGTTCCGCGGGGGTCCAGCCCGGCAAGAGTGTCGGTGGCGCGGAGGCACGGGCGAGGCAGGGAAGGCCCCGGCTGTGACACACAGCGGAGGCCAGTCCACAAGAAACATGCCACGAGAAGCTCAAACCCGAGACCCCAGGACGTCCATTGCTGTCTGGCGCGGAAGCGTCGCGCATTCCACCGCAGAAGCATCGAAGCCCAAGAAACCCAGGGCACCCTGGAGGCAAGCAGGGTGTTTCTTCGCATGGGTCTCCACTGTACTCCTCCTCCTCCTCCTCCACCTCCTCCTCCGTCCTCCTCCTCCTCTTCCTCCTCCTCCTCCTCCTCCTCCTCCTCCTCCTCCTCCTCCTCCTCCTCCTCCCTCTTCCTCCTCCTCCTCCTCCTCCTCCTCCTCCTCCTCCTCCTCCTCCTCCTCCTCCTCCTCCTCCTCCACATGATCGCGAGAGCGAAGGCCGGGTCTCCACTGTCCCTCCTTGCTGATCGTCACCCCCCTGCTGGCTGGCCCTGAGCTCCTGGTCGCCAACACGCCGAACATCCCCCCCACCACCACACAGGGGGGAGGAGGAGCAGGAGGAGGAGGAGGAGGAGGAGGAGTAGGAGGAGGAGGAGGAGCGAGGAGGAGGAAGAGGAGGAGGAGGAGGAGGAGGAGGAGGGAGGAGGAGGAGCAGCGAGGAGTAGGAGAAGGAGGAGGAAAGGAAGGAGGCGGATGAGGAGGGTGGATGAGGAGGAGGCCAAGGGGGCCCTGTGCGCGGACGAAGGGGCATAGCATCTGGGTGGCATCACGGTCCCGTCCGTGATGGAGGTTATCCCCACACGCGCACACGCGCACTTTTCGGGCGCCGCAGCCCTGCGCGCGGTGATCGGGTGGTGAAAGCCGTAAAGCGGCGAACGCGCGCGCGCGCGACCAGGAGCGCCCGAACCCTCAGAGACCGCTTTGGGCACGCACAAACGCACGCACGCACGCACGCACGCACACACACACACACACACACACACAACACACACACACACACACGCACACACACACACACACACACACACACACACACACACACACACGCACGCACGCACGCACGCACGCACACCACACACACACACCACACACACACACACACACACACACACACGCGCGCGCACAGACACACACACACACACACACACACACACACACACACACACACGCACGCACGCACGCACGCACGCACGCACGCACGCACGCACGCACGCACGCACACCTAGTCCTCGCCCCCCCCCCTCGGACGCCCCCGACGGGAGGGACGGTGGGCGGGGGTGGAGGATGAAGAGCGCTGAAGAAGGCTGCCATGAAGGGCGCTGAAGAAGGAACGAAGGGGCTTCTCTTGTCACTGGACGAGCGCGCTCCACCACTCGCGGAGCAGCTGCTCGCAAATGGCCTGGATCCGCCGCGGGGGGTCCACGACAAACGAAGGATTGCAAAAAAACGAAGGATTGCAAAAAAAAAAAAAACCAAGGATTGCAAAAAACCGAAGGATTGCAAAAAAAAACAAGGGTTTTTTTGCAATCCTTCGGTTTTTTTGCAATCCTTCGTTTTTTTTTTGCAATCCATCGAAGCCGACACGTGCTTTTCGGGCGCCTGCGAGTCGGCGCGTGGCGCGCAGTGGCACGCGCTCGGCGAGTCACGGCGGGCCTCGGCCGAGAACGGGCCCCCCGACCCAGGCAGAAGACGAAGGGGCCCTGGGACACACAAACAAATACACACCAATAAAAGGATTCCCCATACTTTCCCATACTTTCTGGGTGTTGTCTTCCCCCCGATCCCTATATTTTCCCATATTTTCCTGGGAGTGGACGATTAATTGTGTCTGTGTGTGTTTCCCCTCCTGAGAAGAAGCAGCCAGAACACCAGAGCCCCATTCTGGGCCCGCGGTGGTCCACTTGTTCAACGTCTTGACCGTGTCTCTACGGGCGGGCACGCCATCGGAGCGTGATCTGGGCGTTGCCGGGGCGCCGCCGGGAGGGGACGAAGTGCGCTGACCGCACGCCATCGAGGCGCCAGTCTTGGAGCAGTGGGGGCGCTGCCAGCGGGGGGCTTCCGGTGCGCCAGGGGCGGAGACGCTGTCCCAGGAACGCTGGGGACCATAGAGAGACAATTCAGCGACGAAAACAAACGGGTCTCACGTCTTGGAAGACATGGCGACCTGACGCCGCGGCATGCGCGGGCCGCCAGCGTGGCACAATGTGTGGGGAAGAGGGCGCTGACGCGCAGCATTACGAGGACACTTCCGCCGCAACGACGGCGAAATTGACCCCGCTTCTTCCGTCGCTGAATTTCGGCGGCGAGCGAGGGGGGGAAGTGAGAAGGAGAAGGCCTTCACAGAAGGCTCGGAAGTCCCCCAGCCTTCTGAGAAGTTGCCTAAGCCTTCCCCGAAGACACCGAAGACTTCTCCAAGGCGCGGGGTTCCTCTGAGAGGTTGTTCCGCCGCCTTTTGAGAAGGCCTTCTCCTTCTCACCTCCCCCCTCGCTCGCCGCCGAGAGTTGAAGCTCTCAAAGAGTTGCACTCTCACACCTGGATGGACGCGGCGGGCGTGCACAGGGCAAGAAGCACCACCGGCCACACGGCCCGCGCGGCCCTGCGGGCTGCCATCCCCCAGACGGGGGGCGAGATGAAGCCGCCTGCAAATGTAGTTTGTTGAAGTAGTGCGTGCGGATGGAACCGGCTGCTCGATGGCTTGAGCCAGAACGGCTCTGGGAGGACGATGAAGAAGCAAGAGGGCGACGAAACGGACAAGCATGAGAAGGATGAAAGAAGGAACGGAGGAGGCAGCGAAGGGGGGAAGAGGAGACGAGGAGGAGGAAAGATAAAAAAGAAGAAAGGAGGAACGGACGACAAACGGATCAAACCGGGAAGTGAAACGAAAAGAGGGGAAGAGTTAGGAGAGAGAAGGAAACACTGAGGACGTAGAGGAGAGAGAGGAGGAGGAAGGTGGAGAGGGGGAGGGCGCAAAGAGGGAAAAGGAAAAGAGAGGAGGCCAGAGGGTCGGGATATGGATGAGTGAGGGAGGCGGGGAGGGAGGGAGGGAACGGGGAAGACGGGAGGGAGGGGATGATCCTGTTGCTCGATTCCCCGTGATAACGGCCGTTCATTGGGCCCGCCCCGCAAGGTGGCGTCACGCTTCGCGCCGGCGCTGTGCTATCCTGGGACTGGCATGTAGGTATGGATCTGCCAGGGAAGACTAGGCACAGCGTAAGGACTTGCTGAGAGTAGCATTGTGGATGCCATGACAATGGACACTCTAACAGTCCTATCATTGAATTTACATGTGTTCAACATGTATGAAAAATGTTCTAAGTATGGTCTTTACATGTTTAAAACATGGTTGAAACATGTCTTAGACATCTGGAAGTTACTTGGCAGCATGCTTCCTCTCCATTGATCGACTTCCACAAGAGTAGCCACGAGCAGCGGACGCAGCGCCTGTGCGCGCCCCAGGTACTCCCGCGGAGGGACCTCCAGGGCAGACCCCACTGCCTGTGTACATCCCAGCGCCTGCATGCACCGCAGCGTCTGTGAAAACCACAGCGCTTGCGTGCACCGGCTTGCCGTCGCCGGCTTGGTTTCGAGCGTGTTGCTTGTTGCTCGATGGTCCAGGATGGTCTCGATGGTTCTCGCCGAGAAAAAATGCACGCGTCCGAGCGATGCCAGGCCAGTGGGCAGGTGTGAACAACATTGACTCTGTACACTGCAGTGCCTCTGTGAATCACGGCGCCTGTACACAACAACACCTGTGTACACGACAAAGCTTGTGAACACGTCGGGGTACCGACAGGGCCAAGAACGGAAAAATCGTGGGGGGGGCGGGCGTATCAAACTCATTGTGACGGCTATGTGTGATTGTTGATTGACTGGCCAAAGGTATGGTCCCTTTTTGGGACCCCACGACGTCCGTATACAATGCAGCATATGTGCACCTCAAAACCTGAGTACAGACCAGTCATTGCGCGCACCAGAAATGCTGCAGCAGCACCAGTGTGCACCACAGTGCCTGCGTACGCCACAGTGACTGTGTGCAACACAGGGCACGTGTGAACAACAATGCCTGTGCACACCATAACTATCGTGTACACCACAATGCCTGTGTACCACCGATCCTGCTGCACGTGCGCACCACAGCCCTGTACACCACAGCAGCCGTGCGCGTCACAGCACCTGTGTTCACGAGTGCCGTGCGTAAACCACAAAGTTCTTGTGTACACCGCATCGCCTCAATGTCTGTGTACACCACAGCGCCGCACACACTGACCCGATGTGCACCTCCGAAGGCCTCTGGAAGCCTCCAAATGTCGGTCGTCGTCGTCATCGTCGTCGTCGCCGGCGCCGTGTTCGTAGTCACACTTCCAGCCCAAACAATACTGGGCCCCTTCCACCACACACCGCAAACGCAAATCGTGACGTACCGGGCCCCTTCCCCTCCCACGCTAACGTCCACAATGATGAAGGACATCTATATACATATATATATATATATATACATATACACATACGAAAACGAGGACTCGCACGAAGAAGGAGTGAGGCGGGAGAGGCCACTTCCTTGTCTTCGTTCGGCGAAATGTCCCCACGTTGGCTTGCCCTAGTGACTCGTACAAATCGTGTCCACAAAAGCGCCGTCTGCTCGCCATGGGTCGGCAAGTTTCTGGTGACCCGAAGGACATCGCCTCCCGAAGGCTCTCTATGCTGGGCCGTGCAACGCCCCGTTATGATATGATGCACGCATGCTGCGGTGTGATCCGCAGCTGTCGTGCCTGCACGATGTGGGTGCCTCAGAAGCCCAGCTGCCTGGTGGGGCTTCTGTAAGGTTTCTACAGAGCTCCCCCCTCCTTGGACACTCATTCTGGTGACCCTCCTGGAGACACTCGCTCCCCTCGTGCGTCGAGGCTGCGTCGAACGCCCGTCGATCTGAGCCGAGCTTGAGTCGGACACGAGCCGAACCCGAGTCGAGCTTGACTCGAAACTGAGACGAACGGGGGTCAAGCTGGAGTCGAACATTTGGACGCCCGAAATTGGTACGGAAAGAATAATGTTGTCCCAAACCAACAGCGGCCGCTGTTGGGCAAGCGGCCTTCTGTCTCACAGGGACACAGGCCGCGGCGGCGCGGACAGCGAGTCCTATTCAAAATGAAAAGGAACTGCTGTTGGGCATTGTACCCATTCTTTCCGTACCCATTTCAATCGTGCCGAGAACAGATCCGTTGGGTGAGCCCCGGGACGGTC